AATTTCAGTACAATGGTTAACAACTTTTGTATATCTATTAACAACTTTGATATAACAGTTAACAACAAGTTTTTGAGTTTGTTAACGGCATTACTGAAGTTGTAAAAATGTTATTTTTTGAATATTCTTAAAAAACCTGTTGTTAACCTCTATACTGAAATTGTTAATAACATTACAAAAGTTGTTAACCGTTATACTGAAGTTGTAAAAATTTTCAAAAAGATTATTTCCGGACACTGGAGCTTGTTGAATTTCCCAAAAGACCTGTTGTTAACTGCTATACTGAAATTGTTAATAACGTTACAAAAGTTGTTAACCGTTATAGTGAAATTATAAAATTTTTTAAGAAAATTGTTTCCGACCGCTAGAGCTCCGACGTCCAATTATTGAATTTTCTCCAAAAATCTGTTGTTAACCGCTATACTAAAGTTGTTAATAGCCTTATAAAAGTTGTTAACTGTTATACTGAAGTTGTAAAAATTTTCAAAATAATTATTTTTGGACACCGGAGCTTGTTGAATTTCTCAAAAAACTTGTTGTTAACTGCTATACTAAAGTTGTTAATAGCGTTACAAAAGTTGTTAACCGTTATACTGAAGTTGTAAAAATTTTCAAGAAAATTGTTTTCGACTGCCAGAGCTCTAGAGTTCAATTATTGAATTTTTCCAAAAACCTATTGTTAACCACTATACTGAAATTGTTCATAATGTTACAAAAAGTTGTTAACTGTTATACTGAAATTGTAAAAATTTTCAAAAAATTTATTTCCGGCCGTCGGAACTTGTTGAATTTTTCAGAAAACCTGTTGTTAACTGTTGTACTGAAGTTGTTAATAGCATCACAAAAGTTGTTAACCGTTATACTGAAGTTGTAAAAATTTTCAAAATTTTTTTTCGACCGACAGAGCCCTGGTGACCAATTGTCTGCCGGTCGCGGGAGTTCCGGTGACTACCGTTGCCGGAGCTCCGGCGACCGGTCGACCAGTGGGTCTGTGATACTTTAAAAACAATATTTAAAAGAAAGGGCAATTTAATCTTTTTATTTGATATAATAATGTCAATTTGGTCTCATGTGACCAAAATGGCATTTTGCAAATTTAACGGATATTCTGGTTATTATGAAGTTAAGATAGTATTTTTCTGTTTTTTTTTAACTGATTTGACAGTAGATCCCTCATTAACTGCAAGATGCCAGACCCAAGCCAGCAGTTGGGCCGGATCACTAGGATGCAGTGAGGCTTTCACTTCAGCCATATGTTTCAAAATATCCAAAATATCATGGGGTGGAAGGCAAAAATGCTCTCATAAAAAAAGGAAAAAAAATATACACTCTTAATTTTTTAACTTCACACAAATTTTTATTTTGACTTAATTTATAGAGTGTATTTTTATTTTGTTTAATGCTAGTATGTTAATAAAAGATGTTGACATTGATATTTCAGATATTTTCGGAACATGTTCAAATACAAACACTAATATAGCAAACTTAGTTTTAAAAAATAACAATAATTAGCAGAAAAAATTATCGTTGGAAAGTAACAACAATAATATCTTATAAAATTAAGGGATTAATTGAAAACGTATAGTCCTGTGATCCTATTTATAGGGCAGAAAAAAAAGACATTTTTTATCCTATTTATAGGATATTGAGAGAAATTTTTTGTATGGATGCACAATTTTATCCATAATTTATTATTGTGCTGACTTTGATTACATGAGGTATAATATATATTAAATAGAGATAAAATTTAAAATTTATTAAATTTTAAATGAGAGTTAATGAAGTTTAAGATTTTCCTCGGTCAGTGTAAAATATGCTGGAACTGTCTTGTGAATAGGACTAAAAAAATATAAAGTTAGATGATTAAATATAATATTTTGTTACATTTTCGAGGTAAACAAACTCCTTATGAATGAGCCAATAAATTTGAGATTAGATTTAAATTAACAGAACCGAGGCCATGTAAATATCATTCAAAAGATTTTAATGGTCAAACTAGGTTGCTTACAGAAATTAACCTTCAGTATGAGCCCATCAGTGATGCAGATCTTTGCCCATGTTCTGTTAAAAGAACATTTCATACATTGTCATAGTGTTCATATATACAAACATATATGCCAGACAATAATTTGTCACTTTTATTTTCAATCACAGCATATTTGCTATAAAGACAAATAAAACACCTTCCATGCACCATATTTTCATAGGATAATCAGGAAGCTCTTTATACTATAACTCTACAAATAACCCTTTTCTTTGCCGCCCTCACCAGTGACACATGTTCTTTCTTTTCCTCCTTCCATTCCAATTTCAAGACAAGACACAGACTAACAGAAATTCAGAGGAGAGATCTTAAATGGGCTGTGAATATATATATATATATATATATATATATTGTGTGTGCGTGTGTGTGTGTCAAATATCTGCAGCTCTATCCATTTCTGGTCCACATGGGGGGTTGCAATTCGCAGCGTTGTCTAGTTATCCATCGTTTCAAAAGTTGTCTTTACTGTTGAGAACTTTACTTGCAGGTAACTTAAATACTTTAAAGGGGTGTTTGGATAAAAATCAAACCATGTTTTCAGAAGTGCTTTTACGGATTACAAAGTAAATATGTGGAGGAGGTTACCTCGTTTTGCGGAAAAGTGATTCTAAAACCGTGGTTTTGGTTTTGCCAAACACTCCCTAAATCCTGAACAAAACAGAACTTTATTTGTTTTTCTTTCCATTGTCCATATTATATTCTTGTATATTTTTTAGTATTACGTTTAGGAGTTAAGTTTTACCCAAATTGTTTTAAACAGTGCATAATTCATTACCTTCATAATTTCATTCATTAAAGGCGCCTGTTTTTATCTACCAGACTGGTATTATTACTTAAAGGAATCCCCCCAAAAAAAAAGGGGGACAAGAAAGAAAAAGAGAAGAAGAGAGAGAGGGAAAAAAAAGGGGGTAACCTCAGTTCCCCATTTATCTAACCATATCCCACCTCTTGAGGGCCACTTCTAACAGACGAAAACATGACCCTCTTAAACTTGTACCCCAGTTTAGCCAACCAAATTAGCACTTTCATGAGCCAACATCTAAGCATAATCAGTATCAATATTCCAGTCGTGTGCCAGCTCACCTATATAGTTATCAATAATATAAACATTTCAAAGAATTAGCACAAATGCACCCAAGGCCATTTATATCCATATCTAATTATACTACTAGTTCTGGTCATAAATATAAGATCTAGTTTGTAGTGTAAATCTTGTATTCCCTTCAGTTCTATTTATAAGCTTAAATTTGGAGAGAGTATGGTCTATTTTATAAGTTTTAATTTAGGGTTTGTTTAAATATTTAATGCATTTTTTTCTAAGTTTGTTTTTAATTATTTATTTTCTCTCCTTTGTAGCTTTGTCATACCCTCTTGTCAAATTTTCTCTCATTCTTTTTCTAATTTATTAACATATCTATTGCTTTAAACTAATTTTAACTATTTGCTCATTATTTATGAAGTTATTTAAAGCTTATAATAATAACTAAAGGGAGTATTTAGAGTTGGAGGTAGTACAATTTATAAGCTATTGACTTTTTATAAAAATTAACTTAGTTGATCCTAAATATGAGAGGTAGTTGAGAGATTTGTTTGGATTCTATATATAAGATTTCTCTCCACTCTGTCTCATAAATTTATAATTCATTTTAAAACAATTTTATTGATTGCATATGATAAAGAAGATTTTTATCAATGAGGGCAGTTTCTAATGCAAATGCTTGAAGGGATATTATAAGAAAACTAATATAACTAATTTTTTTAATGTCTATAAATTAGTTATCTAACTTTTATATTTAAGAATAAAAGAATTATATTACAAATTTTCCTATTCATTTTTCAGTTAGTTGGATGACAGTCAATCTAGCCTGGGTTATTGAGTTGTGTACAAAAAACACTCATTTTCACTCATCACAATCAAGCGATTCTTTTAAAGTCAATCTCAACCCTTTACATCAACCACTTGTCGTGTATGTGAGTATCAACAGTTTAATCAATATATATATATATATATATATATATCAGTCTATCTCCTTCCTTGAGTTCCTTCACATATTTATTTCTCTCCCAAGTTCATATAAAAATTAATTAAATCAGTGATATATAACTTCTTTTGGGTTCAGAAAAATAGTAATAACCCCAGATCATTATTATCTTTATACTAATCATTTGCTGTTAAAAGCAGATGTGTAAAGAAGGGACTAAGCCAGAAATCTTATTTCCTTAGTATATGAACTTGCCAATATAAATTCAAAGCCTCCACTAACAAACTTTGCTTTGTACAAATAAAACCTTCAGGGCAAGCCTATCACCAATACATATCATGTCCCACATTCTGTTAAAACAGCATTTCACACACACACATATATGTGTAGTCATAATATTAAAAAGAGATATGCTGAACCAAAATTTGTAATGCAATTTAATTTACAATCGCACACATATATTTGCCAAAACGACAATTATATACTCATCAATATTTTATTACATATATATTTTGTGAATTAGAAGTCTATACTAATAGGTCAAGTTTACTTAATGGGATTTAACCAGTAACCTCTTACTTACAAGGAGCATTTGTATCATTAGACTTCAAGGCCATTTAGATATTTGTCATATTATTATTGAACACCTTACACACACCATATTTTGACAGGCTAATTTTGACATGACACTATAATATATACCTACAAATAACCCTTTTCTTTGCAGCATTCAATTGCATCCAACAACATTTCTTCAAGTCCATAATTGTACTCAAATCCAGCATCTATGAGCTTCTTAGACGACAGGTCTAGAAATTTCACGCCAGTGATTTGTTTCAAGGAACTACAATGAATATAAGAGAAGTCAGGTGATTTACTTGAATCCAATTTTCACATCAGCACAAAGAAGAAGAACAAGGACAAGAGAACTCTTACTCTAGGGTTGGTATCTTAAATTCTGGGTATTTAGCAGACACTATTTCAGTCACTTTTTCAATGGTTGCCAAACATTTAGAACAATTATATCTCCCTTTTGGATTGGGACGTTCAAGCAGGAATATATGTGCTCTTGCCACGTCATCAACATGAACCATAGGTGTTTGCTGATAGTTATATGGGCCCCCCCTTCTTACCTGCATCAGAATTTAAATGACATACAGAACTCAACTATCAGCATAAACCAAATAAGATTATAAATAAATGTTCAGAACCAAGTTAAAGCATTGTACCAAGCAAAAAATAGAGTGTTGAGCCAACAGAGCCAGGTAGCTTAGGATAAATGAAGGGTCCAACAACAAAAGTGGGAATCAAAGTGACAACATCTAATCCATTTTGTTCTCCAAATTCAAGCACTGCTTTCTCTGTCAATGTCTTAGAAACTGCATAAGACCATCCAAATGTCTTCGAAGTTCTAAGCAAATCCACGTCAGTCCATGAGCTCTCATCCTTCACTTCATCTTCTTCGCCAAAATAATCAACAGCAGAGGCACTGGAAGTGTAAACAACCCTCTTCACAGTTTTTGAAGTAAGGCAAGCTTTCAGAATACCTAATGCTCCATCAATGGATCTCTTGGTCACAATCTCTTCAGGTTCCTTTTCCTCAAAATCCAACGGAGTCGCCACATGGAATACTCCAATGTTCCCTTCAATGGCTTCCTTGAAATTTTCTGGCTCGCTCAGGTCTGCCTTTAGAATTCGTAGCCTCCGAGATGCTCCAGGCAAATCTGTGAGGAAGCTCACATCTTTCTTGTGTTCTGCAATGGAAAACAAAATCAGAAGATCCCATCTTCCCAAAGAGGAAAATGATACTAGCTAGTTGAATCTGTAAAATATTGCTGAATTCAGATAAACAAAGAAAGAAACAAAGGTTTTGTACATGAACAAGACAAACCCAACAAGGAAAAACAGCTTTGGACAGTGAACTGAAAGTTTATATATTTGCTTCAAATAAATGGACAGACATTGAAACCTGGGTTGGATCTAACGGTAGTATTAACTGAGTAGCCATCTTCAAGAAGTCTCTTAATGATCCAAGAACCTATGAAGCCAGTACCACCAGTAACACATACTCTTCCTTTGCTGTCTTCCATTCGGAGAACATAGACTTGAGTCTTCTGTTGAAGAAACAAAGAATCAAGTGTTCGTACACAAGTATATTGGCCTTTTTCTTCTTGGGACACATGTTCCTTTTTGATTGGCACTGTTGTGACAGAGTTATCCAAAAACAAACACCTTTTTCTTCATTTCTCTCGAACTCTACTTATCCCTTGGCTCGCGGTAACTAGAAAACTCAGAATTTTGGTTATTTTTAATTTCACCGGAGTAGCTTTCGTCAATCTTGCGTGGCAGTGATGGCATGCTTGTTTCTCCTTTCACCTAGTTTACTAATAGAACGACCCAACGCCTAAAAGTTAAATTTCTCATCTTTCTCGTTGCTTCTAGAAAAAAAAAAAATCAGCCATAATAGATAAAAGAATTAGATATAAAGAAAGGAAAATTAAAAAATTTATACTCCTCCGGTCCTTAATATAGGACCTAATTGTTGAGTTGGTTTTGGTCCTAAATATAAGACCCATTTTTCATATTTATCAATTTTCTCTAAATTACCCCTATGGATACTCCCTCAATCATAATCAAGTAGAAGAGAAAGATGGGGTATAAAGAAAGATAATTATAGTATTTTAGGAAAAATGTGTCACATTTTTTATAATTAACTAACTTACCTAACTTCCTTAATCTAATCAAATTAGTTAAATAGGTCTTACATTAAGGACCGGAGGAGTATTTACTAATCAAATTTAACGGTTTATATTTATCAGTGAAGCTGTAATATTTTATATCAAATTGTGTTATTTACAAGTTAAACTTATAAAAATATTAAATTTAGGGAGAATTAGAGAGGGGGCCTATTGTGGATAACATTTATTGGAAAGGATTTTAAAAATTGTAATTATTTAGAAAGACCAACTACTAAAATATATATATTTAAAAATACTAATTTGCTCTCTCGGATATTCTCTCTCACCATATCCTATTATTCATAACTTATAAAAATAAAAAATATTGTAGCAATTTTTTATTATGAATGTTTTTTTTTTGACCGGAGTTTTATTATGAATGTTAGCACTTTATACATTCATATCGTGTGGTAAATGTTACCATATCATGTGTATTTTTCCGAGACTTTGATATCATTAATCGTTCATATGATACAAGTTCAAGCCTTTTTATGTACGAAATTGAACACTGAGAGTTTGTTGAGAAAAAAATATGGCAGGAAAAGATACAATAAACATTGAACCCAAATAAAAAGCTCTTTTATTCAATATTTGATATTTGGTGTTATTAGGTCAAATTTTTATCAAATCTAAATAGAGATAGCTCTTTCAATTTTATCTTTTATATTTAGGTAGACTCAAACTTGAATTTTGGCACTCAAACTATCATAGTTACTTTTATTATAATAAATACATGTTGATATAATGACTTTCATATGTTACTTTTTATTTGAAATTTGTAATTTTATTAACCAATATGATTCAATTTATTTCTAAGGGTTGGGTTTATAAATTTATAATTAATGTCCTGAAATAAATAAGAGTACTTTGGTAAAAAATAAAAATAAAATAAGAGTATGAAATAAATAAATAAAAATGTGGATGACTTTTATAACTTTGATAAGTTCATCATTCAGAAAGCTTAAACAAAGTTTTATTGATTAAAAATGATGGAAAAATAAATTAATTTGTGTCAGTCATTAATTTAATTTGATTGATTAGAATTGGTTTTCACTTTGTAATTCTAATTAGTTTGAATTAATGTGAATAAGTTATTATTATTCCATTTTAAAAAAAAAGGATAATTATAGGATATGATGAGAGAGAATATTGGGAATTTAGTTAGGGGCAAAACAGTATTTCTAATTTATATTTTAGTATTTGGTCCTTCTAAACAATTATAGTTTTTATTATCCTTTCCAATAAATATCATCCGTATCAGGTCCTTCTCTCTAATTCTCCCTTAAATTTATTGGTATCTCTCTGTATTTATTCCCTTACTCAAAATTTATGAGTAATTTTTCCTTATTTTGAAAAGAATATTCTTCTAATGTTATTTATAAGGTGATTGCAACATGTTTTATTAGAAACAAGAAAAATCTTACATGTTATCAATACTGTTCTAAAATTTAATAACTTCGTATAATAAATTTAATGAGGTGAATTATATTAAGGGGGAAAATATTATAGGACAAGAGGAATGTTACTTCATTTTCCTGCATGTACCAAGAGAGCCAAAATTAGCAAAAGGCCAACCTTCAAAATCATGAACGGAGGGAAAGGAGAAGGTAGGCATTCATTTCTTTTCATTTTCTTTGCTGATAAAAAAGCTACAATTGTGATCATGATTTTGATGGAAGATGGAAAACTACTTCTAGAATTTTTTTTTGTCAACAAATTACTTTCATAAAATGGTGATGATCGAAGATGGAAAATCATTCCAAAGTTCTGTTTAAATTTCGGCACTCTTTTTCTGTTTAACCCTATTTTTCGGTATTTGATTTCTTTACACTTTCTCTTTACTTTCTATTTCAACCCTTAGATCAAATTTTGAATGAATAGAATTTATCCTGCTTAGCTCAAATCCAAGAAGTTAATTATTGCATTTCCTTCTAACACTATTATACTACATCCAATTCTTAATATAAAAGCTAGTTAACTAAAATGAGTAAATTAAAAAATTACTTAAATCAATTATTTGTAGTAAATAGGTATTGTCTTTTTTAAAAATACTTTTGCTAATCATATGTATTAGCTAAAATTATCATTTAATGAAATTTTAACATGTGCAACTACTACAAGGACTACTTTTAAAAAATAAATAAATATGAGAAATAAAGTGAATTGAAGTCTGGTATTTAAAATCAAATTAAATATCAAATTAGTTCTTATATTAATGATCGGTGGTCGCATTTTCGTTTAATCATATTCTATACCATTTCTTGCCCAATAATCAACCTAATCCTTAACCCAAAATTAAAAAAGATGATCGGTTGGTCACCTGTGTTTCAGGAAAGAAATTAAATTTGGATGTTACATCCTGAATCTTGATTTTGCAGTAAACTGCGTAATTACATTTTGTAGGATTAGAGGGGAGAAGAAGTTTAGACTAGCGATACGAAAAAAAAATTACTCAATTTTTTCGTGATTTTTCTTCCATCTTAGCAGAGTTATCATTGCCTCTCTTGTTTTCTTTGCAAGTGTCAAGAGAAGATTAGATTTTATAAAGGTTAATCTTTGATTTACGGGAGGATTAATATATAGAATTAAGGTATATTTAGTATCCTGAAATATTTTCTCGGATAAATATAATAACTTAAAGTATTTTGTAATTCATCCAGTACCCTAAAATATTTTTTTAAAATACGTTCAACACCATAAAGCATTTTTTGGTGGGTGCATCTAATACCCTAAGGCCCAAAAAAAAAACTTTGGGTTGCTAGATGTTCTTGAAAAATATTTAAGAATATTAGATATATTACAAAATATCTTATGATGCTAGATACACCTTAATCCTAATATATATTGAAATATATATATTTATAAAAAATAGTATATTTATGGACATTCCCTTTATTTTCAAATCACACACTTAAATCTAAATTATTAACTATGTTTAGAATATTCTAAAAGTAAAATTTATTTTAAAATAAATTTGATTTACTAATTTATCCTTCATTTATATTAAATCCATAATTTTTGCCCCAATTATTTTAAAGAATTTAACAGTTTTTTTTCCTTATTTGGATTTTTTATGATGGCATCACCTATAAGTAGATAAATGTTCTTTTTTTTCTTGAAAAAAAAGCCACATTTTTTTACCCATTTTCTACCCATGTTTTTAATAGTCCGATATATCCGCGTTGGTAACAACCCATTGCTTAATCATTCACCATTAATCTGAGAAATATTAAAAACTGATTCAAATCCTATTGCTTATACTTGCGTGCCTAGAGGGAGCATGTTTAGTTTAAACGTGTCAGTTTTCACTTATTGTATGTTACTAAAGAGAATTTACCGGTAAACATGCCGTGATTTTTTTAGGGTATGAAATATTATTCAAATTATTTTATATTATCTAAAAACACTAAATTCATCATTCAAGAAAAAATACTACGGGAACACTAAACTTGAGAATATGGACTGAGAAGATAACATTTTTTTTATGATTATTACTGACTAATTCAGTTTGATTTAAATATAAGTATACTTTATATTTAGCTGGTGAATATATTTATCTGTTTGGGTATACAGCTAAATGAACTGAGACCAACAAACCCAGAATTTCTTATTTTTTTCAAATTATTTTATATAATTGTGGGTATTCTATTTGAAAGTTCGTATTTGAAATTATTTACCTTCAATTTTTTCCTTTCTGGTCAGTTGTTTCTATTAGAATTATTTTGATTGAACTATTTGTCTTTATTACTTATTATTCTATTCTGAATTATTACAGAATTTATTGCAGTTATCCCCAATAATGAGCCTTATTTTTTCTATTTTTTGAAAAAATAAGAAATATCCTTTATCTGAAAATATTTTAAATTGAGAAAAATAAATAAAATTATATAATTATATAACTTCTCTAATCCGGTAAATCATGGTAGACATGCTGGCCATGATATATGTTCAAAATTTTAAATTTGTATTAATTTGATGGTATTATTTAAAATTAATTATGCTCGAAATTTAATTTCGGTCAATCTATTAAGGTATTGAAAATAGTATCCTATGCCTTAAATTTAAATTATTGTTTATACCTAAAATATTTATTATTTTTTTTTATAAATTATTCTGATATCTAAGTCAAATGGAAAATTATTTTACTTCTGATATTTAGAACTAAAATTTATTTTAAAATAAAATAAAATATTAATTTTTAGAAAAACAATTGATGTCTTTTATGAATTAGCTTAATAAAAAAGAGAAATAAAAACTTAAATATATTAGTTGAGATATTTTGTTTATTACAATTATAAAACTTTAACAATAGGAACTACTCAATTTCTTAATATATTGAATAGTGAGCCTATTTTATATTTTATACAATATTTGTCTATTATTAATGATCTTAAATACTAAATTTCCTAATTATTATTTGGATAATCAACATATTTTATGTTTTTATATTAAATACCTAATTCAATCTTAACTCCATAAGGTATATGGATTTCCGGAGGGAGCAATCAGTGTGCGTCTCATGTTTGTGTATGGTGGGGGATGATTATGGAGGGATATGACAGTTTTTTTTTTTTGATAAGGGATATGATAGTTATTCAATTACCACAGTTATCTAAATACCCATAAATGTTGTCATGCATACTCCTCCTTTTCCTCTTTCTCGTGGACGATGAAGATGACAGAGTTATCTACTACAAACCACTGCCACAAGATTACATTGGAAGTCTTATTTTATTATTCTCTATGGCAGTGGCCACGAGACTCCATTTTTACATGCAGCGAGGAAAATGACAATAAAGGCTTTGTTGCCTCCTTTTCAACTAGGACAATGCTTTTCATTTTTTTTCCTGATATTCCATTATTATTATGATTGAATGAGTTAATCATTAGGTAGGGTGGACAGGCCTATTTAGGGCCTGTTTGGGTATCCCAAAACCATGGTTTCAGAAGCACTTTTCCGCAAAACGAGATAATCTCCTCCACATATTTACTTCGTAATCCGTAAAAGCACTTTTGAAACCATGGTTTGGTTTCTATCCAAACACATCCTTAGAAGAAAGAGCATGGGATACTATGCATGTTATAGAGTTAGTTTCCATTGGTTGCTTTACCTCATTGGCTCATCATCATCATCTCTATCTTGAATATTTATAGATCCACATCCTAACTTTTCCATTGCAAATAAAGAGGATAAGAGGGAGCTATGAATCGAGATATAGAACACTTCTTCGAATCTATGGATGGTGAAAAGAAGATGACATGTTCATCTAGCCTATCGGTTTCTGATTTTGTTCCATATTTTGTTCTGTTTCGACTCCTCTCTTTCCCCTCCTCTCATTGTTGTTGTTCTTTTTGTCTCAAGTGTTATTTCATATTTCCTCTTCATTGTAATAATCGATTCATGGATTTAGAATATATTATCCATTTCTCAGAACTTGCATTTTACTCCTTTCGAGGTGATAACCATCATAGTGGAGGAGCAGTTGGTGGGAATTGATAGAAGGAGAGAGGCACGGGTACTATTAAGTTTTTAACAGACAAGAATACCAGGAAGGTTATGCTTGTGATAAAATAGTCGAAGACACTCAAGCATTCGCCTGTATAGTGGAGTAACCTTAGTCCTTACTCTATTTCCATCATACTTTAGCGTTTTTTAGAAAAATGAAATTTTAGTACCATTCCGTGTCATCCAATTGCTTGGAAGTTTCAACATTTTAATATGTGAGTACCATATCATTAATTAGCTTGAGATATTGATTTTTTGTATTTATATTATGATTTTGTATCCTAATATTCCTTTCAAGAGATTTTATGATTTTTGAAGTTGTTTTGCATAATCGAATACAATGCTACCAAAGTGTATTCAGCGTACATTTCAAGTTTTGGTTTGCAATCCTAGGCTATTATTGTAGTTCTTTCCTATATATCTTCAGTCTTCATAAAATGTTTTTTGAATATAGATATTTTGATATTATTTTGGTAGTTTTATATTATTTTAAGTTTATATTGTTAGTTCTTGATCTAGAAACTCCTTTTGATTTTTAATAGGAATTGCTAATTTGCATGCTATAGAGGCAATTCTCTTTGGACAGGATGTCTAAGTTTTAAGTTATTATCCATGACAATCACTTTCAACTTATAGGAATATATCTTTGTGTGGTTTTTAAAATATTTTAACCCACTAACCATTTTGTTTCTATTAATTAATTTCTTTTATAATGTTGATAATAGATTTACATATATTACATATATATTTCAAAAGCTTATGATACTTTATTCTTAAATTAAGTTGAAATTATTACTTGAAATAAAAATGTCATATTCAACTAAGTGATGATTCAACTTTTTATTTTATATAAGAAAACTATCAATTCATACCCGCACATTGCGCGGGTACTGTATCAGTTCTTTAAATAGATGCATACTTGACTAAATGTATTTATAAATCGTGGCAAAAATGTGTTTAAAAGTTTTAAATAATAAATTTAAATGGTCTATATAATCTCTTAAAAAAGTTTCGACAAATGTGATAAAACATTGAAATTATAAAATTTTATCAGGTAATCAAAATTAATAAAATTAATAACATAAGCTGATTTGACAGTAAATTCGTCATAATGGCAAGATGCCAGACGCAAGCTAGCAGATGGATCGGATCACTAGGATGCAGTGGGGCTTCCGCTCCCGCCATATGTTTCAAAATATCCAAAATATCATGAGGCGGAAGGCAAAAATACTCTCTTTTAAATAAAAAAAAAAGGGATAAAATACCCTCTTAATTTTTTAACTTCACACAAATTTTTATTTTGACTTAATTTATAGTGTATTTTTCTTTTAATGCTAGTATTGTTAATAAAAGATGTTGACATTGATACTTCAAATATTTCGGAATATGCTGAAATACAAATACTAATATTTTTGGAGGTATTTAGTACCGGAGGTAGTACAATTTATAAGCTATTGACTTTTTATAAAAATTAACTCTAAATGTAAAAGGTGGTTGAGAGATACGTTTGGAGTTTATATGTAAAATTTTAATTTCTCACAAATTTATACTTTATTTTTAAATAATTTTATTAATTGCTCATGCTAAAGAAGATTTTTATCCATGAGGGCAGTTTCTAAGGCAAATATTTGAAGAGATATTTTAGAAAAGCCAACACATGTTTGATATAAGTAACTAACTTAACTAATTTTTTTAATACTCTTATACTACTTCCGGTCTTATTTATAAGATCTTATTTGTAGATTACAAACGAAATTTTACGACTGAGGTAGTATTTAGGTCTAAAGGAATTAGTTTACAATTGTTTCTATTCATTTTTCAATTAGTGGGATGATAATCAATCTAGTTTTGGTTATTTAGTGTATAAAAAACACTCATTTTCACTCATCACAATCAAACGATTCTTTTAAAGTCAATATTAACCCGCTACATCAATCACTCGTTATGTGTGAGTATCAACCATTTAATCAATATATATCAGTTTATCTCCTTCCTTCACTAGTTCAAATAAAAACTAATTAAAGCAGTGATACATAACTTCTTTTGGGTTCAGAAAAATAGTAATAACCCAAAAGATTTTTTTTGTTTGGCATATGAACAACATTTCACACAAGGGAGCTTTTGTACCACTAGGCTTTAAGGCCATTTACATATTTGTCATGTTATTATTGAACACCTTACACACACCATATTTTGACAGGCTTATTTGACATAACACTATTATATATAGCTACAAATAACCCTTTTCTTTGCAGCATTCAGTTGCACCCAACAGCATTTCCTCAAGTCCATACTTGTACTCAAATCCAGCATCTATGAGCTTCTTCGATGACAGATCTTGAAATTTCACGCCAGTCAAGAAACTACAATGAATATAAGAGAAGACATGTGATTTACTTGAACTGAATTTTCATATCAGCTCAAACAAGAAGAATAAGGACAAGAGAACTCTTACTCCATGGCTGGTATCTTAAATTCTGGGTATTTAGCAGACACTATTTCAGCCACTGTTTCAGTGGTTGCAAAACATTTAGAACAATTATATCTCCCTTTTGGATTGGGATGCTCAAACAGGAATATGTGCGCTCTTGCCACGTCATCAACATGAACCATAGGTGCTTGCTGAAAATTAAATGGGCCCCCCTTCTTACCTGCATCAGAATTTAAATGACATACAGAACTAAACTATCTCCATAAACCAAATAAGATTATAAATAAATGTTCAGAACCAAGTTAAAGCATTGTACCAAGCAAAAAATAGAGTGCTGAACCAACAGAACCAGGTAGCTTAGGACAAATGAAGGGTCCAACAACAAGAGTGGGAATCAAAGTGACAACATCTAATCCATTTTGTTGTCCAAATTCAAGCACTGCTTTCTCTGTCAATGTCTTAGAAACTGCATAAGACCATCCAAATGTCTTCGAAGTTCTAAGCAAATCCAAGTCAGTCCATGAGCTCTCATCCTTCACTTCATCTTCTTCGCCAAAATAATCAACAGCAGAGGCACTGGAAGTGTAAACAACCCTCTTCACAGTCTTTGAAGTAAGGCAAGCTTTCAGAATACCTAATGCTCCATCAATGGATCTTTTGGTCACAATCTCTTCAGGTTCCTTTTCCTCAAAGTCCAATGGAGAAGCCACATGGAATACCCCAATGCACCCTTCAATGGCTTCCTTGAAACTTTCTGGCTCGCTTAGGTCTGCCTTCAGAATTCGTAGCCTCCGAGATGCTCCAGGCAAATCTGTGAGGAAGCTCACATCTTTCTTGTGTTCTGCAATGGAAAACAAAATCAGAAGATCCCATCGTCGCAAAGAGGAAAATGATACCAGCCAGTTGAATCCGTAAAATGTTGCTGAATTCAGATAAACAAGGAAAGATGCAAAGGTTTTGTATATGAACAAGACAAACCCAACAGGGAAAAACAGTTATGGACAGTGAATTTACAGTTCATATATTTGCTTCAAATAAATGGACAAACACTGAAACCTGGGTAGGATCTAACGGTAGTACTAACTGAGTAGCCATCTTCAAGAAGTCTCTTAAAGAGGAAAATGATACCAGCCAGTTGAATCCGTAAAATGTTGCTGAATTCAGATAAACAAGGAAAGATGCAAAGGTTTTGTATATGAACAAGACAAACCCAACAGGGAAAAACGGTTATGGACAGTGAATTTACAGTTCATATATTTGCTTCAAATAAATGGACAAACACTGAAACCTGGGTAGGATCTAACGGTAGTACTAACTGAGTAGCCATCTTCAAGAAGTCTCTTAATGATCCAAGAACCTATGAAGCCAGTACCACCAGTAACACATACTCTTCCTTTGCTGTCTTCCATTCGGAGAAGAACAGAGTTTTGAGTCTTTTGTCAAAGAAACAAAGAATCAAGAGATACATAGGACACCAGTGTATTTGCCCTTTTCTTTCTGGGATCTTTGTGATTGGCACTGTTGTGACAGATCGATCTAGAAAGAAACACGTTGCATCTTTTGGTTTGCATCTTTTGGTTCGCGGTAACTAGAAAACTCAGAATTTTGGTAATTTTTAATTTCACAGGATTAGCTTTCGTCAGTCTTGCGTGGCAGGGATGAAACATTGGTTTCCCCTTTCACCTAGTTTACTACTTGAACGTCCTAATGCCTAAAAGGAAAATATCTCATCTTTCTTGTTGCTTTTAGAAAAAAATCACCAACAGTATCTAGATAAAAGAATTAGATACAAAGAGAGGAATATTAAAAAATTTATATTTACAATCAAATTTAACGGTTTATATTTATCAGTGAAACTTTCATATTTTATATCAAATTGTGTTATTTACAAGTTAAACTTATAAAACTTATAAAAAAATTTAAATTTATTAGTATCTCTCTGTATTTATTTTCTTACTCAAAATTTATGAGTAATTTTTCCTTATTTTGAAAAGAGTATTCCTCTAATTTTATTTAGAAGATGATTGCAACATGTTTTATTAGAAACCAAAAAAATCTTAAATATTATCAACGCTGTTTTAAAATTTAATAAGTTTCATATAATGAATTTAATGAGGTGAATTATATTAAGGGGGAAAATATTATAGGACAAGAGGAATATTACTTCATTTTCATGCATGTACTAAGAGAGCCAAAATTAGCAAAAAGTCAATCTTGAAAATCATGAACATCGAGAAAAGGAAAAGGCAGGTATTCATTGCTTTTTATTTTCTTTGTTGATAAGAAAGCTACACTGTGATTTGTGATCATGATTTTGAATTTTTGATGGAAAATGGAAAACTACTTCTAGAATTTTTTGTCAACAAATTACTTTCAGAAAATAGTTATGGTGGAAGATGGAAAATCATTCAAAAATTCTGTTTAAATTTCGGTCCTCATTTGTCTGTTTAACCCTACTTTCAATGTTGGATTTCTTTACACTTTCTCTTTACTTTCTATTTCAACTCTGAGACCAAATATTGAATGGATAATTTATCTTGCCTAGCTCGGATCCCGGAAGTTAATTATTACATGGCCTTCTACCACTATTATACTGCATGTAATCATCAATAAAGAACTAATTGGCTAATTTGAGTAAATTAAAAAGATTAGTTAAATTAGTTATTTGTAACGGGTCATTTTGCTAAGTTCTTTTGACATGGTTTTCTCAAGCACTCTCCTATATTCTACTTTGTCTTTCTTAAAATATTGTTGTTAATTATGTGTATTACTTAAAATTACCATTTAATAAAAATTTTAACATGTACAACTATTATAAGGATTATCTTAAAAAATGAATAAATATGAAAGATAAAATGAATTGGATTTTTGTATTTAAAACTAAATTAAATGCCAAACTAGTTCGGAAGTAGGACTTTTTTTTGGGTCATATTCTATACCATTTCTTATCGAACAATCAACCCAATCCTTAACCCAAATTTACATAAAAGATCATCGGCAGGTCACCTATGTTTTAGGAAGGAAATTAAATCTGGATGTTACATCTTGAATCTTGATCTTGCAGTAAAATGAGGAATTACATTTTGTGGGATTAGAGGGGAGAAGAAGTCTAGACTAGTGATACCAAGGGAAAAAAAAACACTTAATTTCTTCGTGATTTTTCTTCCCCCTTAGCACAGTCACTTATCATTGCCTCTCTTGTTTTCTTTGAATGTCAAAAGATGAGGTTTTATAAAGGTTAATCTTTTGATTTATAAGGGGATTAATATATAGGGTTAAAGTGCATCTAATACCCGAAGTATTTTTTCAAGTACATCTAGCAATCTAAAATATTTTGTAGTGCATCCAGCATCTTGAACTATTTTTTTTAAATGCGTCCCATATTTTAAAATATTTTTTGGTGCATCCAGTATTCTAAGACAAAAAAAAAATACTTTAGATGCCGGATGCTCTTGAACAATATTTTAGGATACTGAATGTAACATAAAATATTTTAAAGTATTGGATGCACCCAAAAAAATATTTCGGGGTGCTGGATGCACCTCAACCTTAATATATATTAAAATATTTTTTTTATAAAAAATAGTATACGAATATATATTTTATTAAAATATATTATAATATGGAGTAAAATACTGTAACCTCTTTTAAAATTTATCTTAATTTTACTTACCTTTCCTTTGTTTTCAAATCACACACTTAAATCTAAACCTTAACTATGTTAAGAATATTCTAAAAGCAAAATTTAATTTAAAATAAATTTGATTTACTAATTTATCCTTCATTTATATTAAATCCATAATTTTTGCCCAAATTATTTTAAAGAATTTTTTTTTTCTTATTTTGATTGATTGATTTATTTAATTTTTTTTATCATGGAACAGAAGTTTAAGTAATTTAGTTGATGTTTAGACAAAAAAAAAGTAATTTAGTTGATGTAAATATAACAAACTTGATTGAAACTTTGATTAATTCTTCTAATAGACACATACTTGACTAAATTTATTTATAATTTTTGTAGCAAAAATGTGTTTAAAAATTTTAAATAATAAATTTAAATGGTCTATATAATCTCTTAGACATATTTTTAGCTATTTAAAAGAAATCTAAATAGAAGGTTTCGATAAATGTGATAAAACATTAAAATTAGAAAATTTTATAAGGCAATCAAAATTTTAAAAAATTAATAACATAAGCTGATTTGACAGTAAATCCCTCATTAACTGCAAAATGCCAGACGCAAGCCAGCAGAGGGGTCAGATCACCGGGATGCAGTTAGGCTTCAACTCCAGCCACACGTTTCAAAATATCCAAAATATCATGAGGTGGAAGGCAAAAATGCTCTAATAAAACAAAAAGGCAAAAATACACTATTAATTCTGTAGCCTCACACAAACTTTTATTTTGACTTAATTTATGGAGTGCATTTTTACTTTTTTTTTTAATGCTAGTATTGTTAATAAGAGACGTTGACATTGATATTTCAAATATTTTCGGAACATGCTCAAATACAAATACTAATATAGCAAACTTAGTTTTAAAAAACAACGATAATTAGCACAAAAAATTATCGTATGAAAGCAACAATGACAGTATTTTATAAAACTAAGAGATTAATTAAAAGCTTATATAAAGCGAGATGATCAAATATACTATCTCGTTACATTTACGAGGCAAACAAACTCCAAATGAATAAGTCAATGAATTTGAGATTAGATTTGAATTAGCAGAACCCATCAGTACGAGCCCATCAGTGATGCACATCTTTGCCCATATTCTGTTAAAAGAACATTTCTTTTTTTGGTGAAAATTTTTAGGAAAGGAGTCAGGCTCACCCATGATTCAAGAGCAGGACAACTAACCCTTGACCCCAACTCTACCCAGCGCCGTAGCTTTACTGGGACGGGGAGAGCTCCACGTGGAGATCACCACTGTTGAAAGAACATTTCATATATAGTCATAGTGTTCATATATATATATAAAGATACGTAGCAGACAATAATTTGCCACTCTTATTTTCAATCACAACAAATTTGCTATAAAGACAAATAAAACACCTTCCATATACCATATTTTCATAGGATAATCAGGAACCTCTTTATATTATAACTACAAATAACCTTTTTCTTTGCAGCATCCAATAGCATCCACCAACATTTCCTCAAGTCCATACTTGAACTCAAATCCAGCATCTATAAGCTTCTTAGATGGCAGATCTGAAAATTTCACGCTAGTTCTTTCTCTTGAGGAACTACAACAAATAAGAGATCAAATTACGGAAGGCAAGTCATTTACTTCAATCAAATTATCATATCTTTACAAAGAAATTAAACATGATCGAGAAGGTTAGCAGAACTCACTCTATGGTTGGAATTTGAAGTTCCGGGAATTTAGCAGACACAATTTCAAGTAGTTTTTCAACAGTAGTCAGACATGAAGAACAATTATATCTTCCCCTTGGCTTAGGATGTTCAAGCAGAAATACATATGCTCTGGCCACGTCATCCACATGCACCATAGGTAGTTGCAGATAAGCAAATGGGCCCTTCGGACCTGCATCATAATTTTGGAGACACCAACATTTAATGACTTACAGAAGTAATTAAATTATCTGAAAAACAAAATAAGATTGTAAATAAATGTTTAGAACTATGTTGAAAGTGACATGGAGCAAGTTGAGGCATCTACTTAATAAAAAATAGAGAGCTGCATCAACAGATCCAGGAAGCTTAGGACAAATGAAGGATCCAACAACAAAACTGGGAACCAAAGTGACAACGTCTAATCCATTTTGTTGTCCAAATTCAAGCACTGCTTTCTCTGCCAATGTCTTAGAAATTGCGTAAGACCATGCAAATGGTTTTGAAGTTCTAAGAGAATCCACGTCAGTCCATGAGCTCTCATCTTTCACTTCATCTTCTTTGGCATTATAATTAACAGCCAAGGCACTGGAAGTGTAAACGACTCTCTTCACAGTTTTTGAAGTGAGGCATGCTTTTAGAATTCCCAATGCCCCATCAATGGATCGTTTGGTCACAATCTCCTCTGGTTCCTTCTCCTCCAAATCCACTGGAGTAGCCACATGGAATACTCCGATGCACCCTTCAATGGCTTCCTTAAAACTTTCCGGGTTGCTTAGGTCTGCGATCAGAATTCGTAGCTTTTGAGATGCTCCTGGCAAATTTGTTAGGAAGCTCACATCTTTCTTGGGTTCTGCAACGGAAAACAAAATCATAAGATTCCATCTTCCCAAAATAAGAAAATATCTATAAAATATTGCTGAATCCATACCGAACAAAGAAAAATACAAAGGTTTTGTGTTAACAAGACGAAACACAAGAAGAAAAAACAGTTTTGGACAGTGAATGATCGAACATTCACCAGGAAATCTCTTGGGAAATGTTGCAAATTATTACGGAAGATAAATTGACAGTTATATATTTGCTTCAAAGATATATATATATATATATATCTAGAGAGAGAGAGAGAGACATTGTGTACCCGGGTGAGATCTAACGGTAGTATTAACTGAATAACCATTTTCAAGGAGTGTCTTGATGATCCAGGAACCAATGAAGCCAGTACCACCGGTAACACATACCCTTCCTTTTCCCTCTTCCATTCAGAGAAGATAAGGTTGGGTGCAAGGTTCAATTTGAGAAACAGATATTTATTTAGAGATATTTGAGGATAGGAAACAAGCACATTTCTCCTATCCTTTCATGGACATGTGGTCCTTTTTAATTGGCAATGCTGTAACAGATTCATCCTTGTTTCATGAAGTCACTTTTTCTGCTTTCTTCTCAACCTTACATTTTCTGGAAATTTTTAATTTCACTTGTTTAACTTTCTTCAATCTTGCATGGTAGCGACCGATCATTGCTAGTAGCTCAGTTCTTTTCTCCTTTCACTCATACTGAAGGTTATTAGTATATCTTGATGCCTAGAAGTGAAAATTCTCATCTAATTATTTTGAGAGCTTATTACATTGTTTTCATGAATTTACGTACTCAGAATTAGCAAGATCAAGTCGTTATATTTTTAAAAGTAAGAATAGATAAAATGGGAGAAGCAAGTCTTAAAACGCAGGCATTTGTTGGAGGTGTTAATTTCTTTTCATAGACGAGGTGGTATCATTTTCTTTTTCTTAGCTAAATGACAAGTCTCTGAAGAGTAAAAAGTAGTTTGGTGATAGAATGGAGCTGGTAAAGTAGGCCAGCCTCTATAAGTTGCGAGCTGAAGTAATTCATATCTCAGCAGGCTAGCAAAATATTAGCCCGCACTCAACAAGATGAGCTGACGGCTTTTATTTTTTTTATTTTTTTAAAAAAATATTCTAAACTATTTCCACTCACTAGTAAATGATCTATATATTTGTCTCCCTATCTCTGCAATATATAGCCATATATTTAAAAACTGATAGGTGGGAAGTTTTTGAAAAAAAAACAAAGAAAGTTCCAAACATAAGCCTAATATGCTGCAATTTATTATTATTTTTGATACAATATTTATTATTTTTTAGATATAAGAAAACTCTTATTATTATTGATATGGGTTGAGACTAAAGTTTAAAATGTTGAAATTGGATTTTGAGCCTTGGATTTGAGTACTAAATTATAATAAGATAATATAAAAATTGATATATATATATATATATAAAGGGGAGCTAGCTTGTGGCAAAGTATAAACTGAAGTAGCCCACACCCTGGCAGCTTGGCAAAACTCACCATTTTCGGCGCCGCATGCTAATCCCATATTCAAGCATGATAAAAGATCAAAACAGCATATTTGCTCGTTCAATTATTTTTTTAGAATAAACTTTATAAAGTGGCTTTTCAGTCTTTTAAACTTAACATTGATAATAAAAGATGCTAATATTGAAATTGTAAATATTGAAAAAATATTCTCAAATGCTAATATAACAAATTCAATTTTCAAAAATAACAATGATTAGCACAAAAAGTTATAATATGAGATTGAGTGTTGGGAGTAACAGACTAAAAAGATACTTTATAAAATTTAAGGGATTAGACTAAAACTTTGTATAAATTAGAAAACCAAATCAACACTTTTGCCGCAGGACTTCGACAAAAGGTGAGCTAAACAAACCTCTAATGAGCTGGTTAATAAGAGATTTGAATTTGATTTGAATTAACAGAACTGAAGCCTTGTAAATATTATTCAAAAGATTTTAGTAATGAAACTTTGTTCCTTAAAGAACCTTCAGTTTGAGCCTATCACTAATGCCAATCTTGCCCATGTTCTGTCAAGACAACATTTCATACAGTCATAGCGTTTATATATATAATTTGTCATGCAAACATTCAACCACACATGCATATATCTACTACAAAGACAAATTAAAACACCTTCCATATGCCGTACTTTCATAGGATAATGTGGTAACACTTTATACTATAGCTCTACAAATAACCCTTTTCCTTGCAGCATTCAATAGCATCCACCAACATTTCCTCAAGTCCATACTTGAACTCGTATCCAGCATCTATAAGCTTCTTAGATGACAGATCTGGAACTTTCAGGCTAGTGCTTTCTCTTAAGGAACTATAACAAATAAGAGATAAAAAATGATGAAGCAAACGTTAAAACATATGGAAGACAATTTATTTACTTGAATCAAATTACCATACCTGTACAAATAAATTAAACATGATGAAGAAGGTCAGAAGAACTTACTCTATGGTTGGCATTTGAAGTTCTGGGTATTTAGCAGACACAATCGCAAGCGCTTTTTCAATAGATGCCAGACATGAAGAACAAACGTATCTTCCCCCCGGATTGGGATGTTCAAGCAGAAATATATGTGCTCTTGCCACGTCATCTACATGCACCATAGGTGCCTGCAGATATCTAAGTGGGTCCTTCTCATCTGCATCAGAATTTCGAAGGCACCAACATTTAGTGAATTACAGAACTAAATTATCTGCATATGCAAATAAGATTATAAATAAATGTTTAGAACTATATTGAAAGGGACATGAAGCAAGTTGAAGCATGCACCTAATAAAAAGTAGAGTGAAGAACCAACGGATCCAGGAAGCTTAGGACAAATGAAGGATCCATTAACAATAGTAGGAATCAAAGTCACAACATCTAATCCATTTTGTTCTCCAAATTCAAGCACTGCTTTCTCAGTTAAGGTCTTAGAAATTGCATAAGACCATCCAAATATCTTCAAAGTTCTAAGTGAATCCACGTCGCTCCATGAGCTTTCGTCCCTCACTTCATCTTCTTTGCAAGTTGCAGAAACAGCAGCGGCACTAGAAGTGTAAACAACTCTTTTCACAGTTTTTGAAGTGAGACATGCTTTCAGAATTCCCAATGCCCCATCAATGGATCGCTTGGTCACAATCTCCTCAGTTTCCTTTTCCTCAAAATCAAATGGAGTAGCCACATGGAATACTCCCATGCACCCTTCAATGGCTTCCTTGAAACTTTCTGGGTAGCTTAAGTCTGCGTTCAGAATTTGTAGCCTCTGAGATGCTCCTGGTAAATTTGCGAGGAAGCTCACATCTTTCATGTGTTCTGCAGTGGAAAACAAAATCATAAGATTACATCTTCCCAAAATAAGAAAGAGAAAATTGATACTACTTGAATCTGTTAAATATTGCTGAATTCAGCCGAATTAGAAAAAGCTGCTAAGGTTCTTTATTAACAAGACAAACCCAACACGGGGAAGAAGTTTCGGACAGAAAATGACCCAGCTTTCACCTGGAAATCTTCAGGGAAATACTTAAATAAGTTACTATTACAGAAGGTAAATTGATAGCTGATATATTTGCTTCCAATATATGGAGACACGTTATGCACCTGCGTGAGATCTAACGGTCGTATTAACAGAGTAACCATCCTCAAGAAGTCTCTTGATGATCCAAGAACCAATAAAGCCAGTACCACCAGTAACACATACTCTTCTTTTTCCCTCTTCCATTCGGAGAAGACAGGCTCGATGGTACAAGGTTCCATTTGAGAAACAGATATTTAAGGTGACTAAGCCATTTGTCCTGTCTTTTATGGGACGCACGTTTCTTTGTAATTGGCAGTGCTCTCACATGCACGCGCTCTCTTTCTTCTATAAAGTCATGACTTTTATTCTTTTCTAATTTATCTGTCGGTGATTAAAAAACTCAATTTTGGAGTTTCTTAAAAGATACACCATGATTTGCGATCATGGTTCAGACAAAATAGCTAAACGACACGTCTATGAAGAGTAGGTGGTGATAGAAGATGAAAAATTATTTTATTTGAAAGGCAAAACCCCACATTTACAAAGGATCAAAGGGTATTTTTGCCCTTGAATTATTCCCTCAAAATTGCTTTTACTCTTCTCTCCTCGCCACTATTTGGATGATTTTAACTATGGAGAAAATCTTCCCCCTGTATTTTCCAATTATGTGATCATAAGCAATATCTCTCCGAATAGAAGAGTATTCTTCTCTCCACCGGTATAGTCCTTATATCTAGAGAGAATCCTCTCCCTATATGTTTTGGTTATATAATCATGAGCAATATTTTTCTAAAGTCATTTCTATAGGGGATGCCTTGAATAAATGGTAATTTTGCAACTTCTAATCAATTTTTTTGGTTGAAATCATAAGCATCTGAGTACATAACAAGGATATTACAAATACCCCTTTTCTTTACAGCTTTCAATTCATGCAAATCATGTCCATATTCTGTCAAAACAACGTTTCATATATACACAATTTCCTTGTGAGAGAGATGTACCAAACTATAATTTGTGATACAACTTAATTTACAATCACACACTTGTTTGCAGAAAAGACAATCATATACTTGTCATATTATTATTAAAACACCAAAGTTATTACCATATTTTGATTGGGTAATCTGACAACAAATTATATTATAACTCCAAATAATCATTTTCCTTGCAGCATTCAATAGCATCCACCAACATTTCCTCAAGTCCATACTTGAACTCATATCCAGCATATATAAGCTTCTTAGATGACAGATCTGGAACTTTCAGGCTAGTGCTTTCTCTTAAGGAACTATAACTAATAAGAGATAAAAAATGATGAAGCAAACGTTAAACATATGGCAGACAATTTATTTACTTGAATCAAATTATCATGTCTGTGGAAAACAAATTAAACATGATGGAGAAGGTTAGAAGAACTCACTCTATGGTCGGCATTTGAAGTTATGGGTATTTAGCAGACACAATTTCAAGCACTTTTTCAATAGATGCCAGACATGAAGAACAAATGTATCTTCCCCAAGGATTGGGATGTTCAAGCAGAAATATATGTACTCTTGCCACGTCATCCACATGCACCATAGGTAATTGCAGATAACCAAATGGGTCCTTCTTACCTTAATGACTTACTTACAGAACTAAATTATCTGCAAAAACCAAATAAGATTATAAATAAATGTTTCGAACTATGTTGAAAGTGACATGAACCAAGTTAAAGCATGTACCTAGCAAAAAATTTAGTACTAAGTCAACAGTGCTAGGAAGCTTAGGACAAATGAAGGGTCCAACAACAATAGTGGGAATTAGAGTCACAACATCTAATCCACTGTGTTCACCAAATTCAAGCACTGTTTTCTCTGTTAAGGTCTTAGAAATTGCATAAGACCATCCAAATGCCTTCAACGTTCTAAGTGCATCCACGTCACTCCATGAGCTCTCGTCCTTCACTTCATCTTCTTTGCTAATATAAGTACCGCGTACAGCAGAGGAACTGGAAGTGTAAACAACTCTCTTCACAGTCTTTGAAGTAAGGCAAACTTTCAGAATACCTAATGCTCCATCAATGGATCGTTTGGTCACAATCTCCTCAGGTTCCTTTTTCTCACAATCCACTGGGGTAGACACATGGAATACTCCAATGCACCATTCAATGAAACTTTCTGGCTCGCTTAGGTCTGCCTTCAGAATTCGTAGCCTCTGAGATGTTCCTGGCAAATATGTGAGGAAGCTCACATCTTTCTTGTGTTCTGCAATGTAAAACAAAATCATAAGATCCCACCTTCCCAAAATAAGGAAGAGGAAAATTATACTACTTGAATCTATAAAATATTGCAGAATCCATACTGAACAAAGAAAGATCCAAAGGTTTTGTATTAACAAGACAAACACAACAAGGAAAAACAGTTTTGGACAGTGAATGATCGACCATTCACCGGGAACTCTCTTGGAAAATATTACAAGTTACTACAGAAGATAAACTAACAGTTGATATCCTTGCTTCAAATGTATGGTTCGGAGGTGGGGAGAAGGGGGGGGGGGAGATTGTGTACCTGGGTGGGATCTAACAGTAGTATTAACAGAGTAACCATCCTCAAGGAGTCTCTTGATGATCCAGCAACCGATGAAGCCAGTACCACCAGTAACACACTCTGCCTTTACCTTCTTCCATTCAGAGAAGAATACACGCTCGAGGGTAAGAAGGTTCTATTGTTGGAGAAACTGAAAGAGAAGCCGAATTTTAAGAATAGGAAACGAGTACATTTTCCCCACCCTTTCATGGACACATGATCCTTTTTAGTTGGCAACGTTACTTTAGGGTGTTTGGAGAGCAGGGAGGACATAAAATTTATTTTATATATTTATTTTATATATTATAAAATTATAGTTTAATTTTCGTTCAAGTATTTTTGTTATCACCCATTTGACGAAGTCACTTTTTCTCCTTTTTCTCGATCTTACTTAACAAGGATTAAGGAACACAGAAAATTAAAATAGAAATTATTCTAAAAGATCAGCTATATTATTTATGCGTTTCAAAGTTAAAACTTAATTATTTGAATAATTACAACCCTGCTTCCGTAATGTTACAAACATACTTTCAATTTGTAACTTTTAAAAGCATGGGCAATAGCTTAAAAAACATTAGGCATCACACGAAAACACACAAATCATAAGTTTACTTTTAAAAATTATAATATAAAAAACTATACTCCCTCTAGTCCTTTTCATAAGAACATGCAAAATTTAATGTGTTTTTATTATTTTTTTCCCTAATTAATTTTACATATTGCATTAATTAAGACATTGATAAACTATCATATTTTTCTTGTATTTTCTTTCTCTTACTTGCCCCTTATAAATAAACATATGCTCAGGGGAAAAATTTATTTCTTACACATTTATTATTTTTAATTAATTTTAATTGTTTTTTTAAACCATATTATTTGACAGAACAAAGTATACATCTTCCGATGTTTAGAAAGTCCAAAAAAGAAACGAGAAGTAAACTTCACTTTATTTCGAAGTTCGAATAAAAATGAATTCAAATAGTGATGCAAAATTTCGTTTTAGTTTCGGTAAAGTTGCAGTACCCCTGGATCTGTCTCAGCAATGCAAATCATGTCCATACTCTGTCAAAACAACGTTTCATTTATTCATAATTTCCATGTGCATGAGATGCATCAAACTATAATCTGTGATACAACTTAATTTACAATCACACACTCGTTTGCTGAAATGACAATCATATACTTGTCATATTATTATTAAAACTCCAAACTTATACCACATTTTGATTGGGTAATCTGACAACAAATTATATTATAACTCCAAGTAACCCTTTTCCTTGCAGCATTCAATTACATCCACCAACATTTCTTCAACTCCATACTGGAACTCAAATCCAGCATCTCTGAGCTTTTTGGACGACATATAAGGAAATTTGAAACCACTGCTTTCTTTTATGGAACTACAATGAACAAGAGAAGAAATGGTGAAATAAACGTTAAAACATATGGAAGATAATCCATTTGCTTGAATCAAATTTTCTCATCTGTGCCAAAAAAAGGGAGGTCAGAAGGACAAGATAACTCACTCTATGGTTGGTATTTGAAATTTTGGATATTTAATAGACACAGTTTCAAACACTTCTTCAATGGTTGCCAAACAAGTAGAACAAATGTACCTCCCTTTTGGATTAGGATGTTCAAGCAGAAATATATGTGCTCTTGCCAGGTCATCTACATGCACCATATTGACTTGTAGGTAACTTAATGGTTCCTTATCATCTGCATCAAAATTTTAAAGAGACCGGAAGTCAGAGACCAAACTGAATGCAGAACCAAATGATTATAAACAAATGTTAGAACTCCAATCAAGGTGACACGATTGGCAAGGGGTCAGGCTTCTTTCCAAGTTTTTCGCTTTTGCCCTACTCAAGTGCACACAAAGTAGGCATATTTTGTGTACACCTAAACATGTCAAAACCATTTCCCCTGGAGAGAACCCAGACCCCTTGGCAAGTTGTCGCACATACCAAACATGAAATAAAGACATGGCTGAACTGAGACAGGAAGCCTAGAGCAAATGAAGGGTCCAATAACTAAAGGGGGATCACAGTAACAACATCTAGTCCATTTTGTTCACCAAATTCGAATACTGCCTTCTCTGTCAATGTCTTAGAAATAGCATAGGGCCCCAAAGTCTGAAATGTTCTAAGTAAATCCACGTCACTCCAGAAGCTCTCATCCTTCACTTCATCTTCTTTGTTATTATAAGAAACAGCTACAGCACTAGAAGTGTAAACAACTCTCTTCACAGTCTTTGAAGCGAGGCATGCCCTCAAAATACCCAATGCTCCATCAATGGATCTTTTGGTTACAATCTCCTCAGGTTCCCTTTCCCCAAGATCTATTATGGCAGCCACATGGAATACTCCAATGCACCCTTCAATGGCTTCCTTGAAACTATCTGGATCGCCTAGGTCTGCATTCAAAATTCGTAGTCTTTGGGATGCTCTTGGCAAATTTGTCAGGAAGCTCACATCTTTCTTTTGTTCTACAACGGAAAGAAAATCACGAGATTACATCACTAAAGAGTTTTCACTTAATTCTCGTAAACAGAAAGAGGAAAATAATACTATTCAACTGATAGAGAATGATACTATGGTTTTGTATCAAAATGAAGACAAACAACCCAAAATAGAATTAAAAGCACTTTTGGACACAGGATGATCAAGCTTTTACTA